GGGAGGGTGAGGACAGGTGATAGGGGTTTGGGTTAGGCAGGTGTATATGGATCAAGAGTTGGATTTTGGTCATCCTCAGTTTAAAGTAATATTAGGACATCCAGATGGAAGTGATCAACAGGTGGTTAGGTACATGTGAAAGAGGTCAAGTGAGGAAAAAGAAGATAAGGTTTGGAGAGGTATCTACGTAGAGGTGAGAACTGTGGAGACAGACCTCATTGCATTCCCTGTATTTCTATGTGGATGGTGGAAATGCCTCTAGGACGGAGTCACAAGGAGAAAGACCCAGTTATGGGCTGCAGGAAGATGAGTAATTTGCAAAATAAACAGGGGAACAGGTTCCTAAGTGTCTTAGTCCATTTGGGCTACTCTAACAAAATACCATAGAGTAGGTGGCTTATACATAACAGAAATGTATTTCTCACATTCTGGAGGCTAGGAAGTCTAAGACCAAGGTGCCAGCATGGTCAGATTCTGGTGAGGGCCCTCTCCTGGGTTGCAAACTGCTAACATCTTGCTGTTTCCCTACATGGTGAAAGGGAATATACAGACTCCCTTAGGCTTCTTTCATAAGGTCACTAATCCCATATAGGAGGGCTCTGCCCCCGTGACCTAATCACTTCCCAAAGTCCTCATCCCTTAATGCTATCATCTTAGGGGTTAGGATTTCAACATATGAATTGTGGGGGTACATAAAGTTTCAGACCATAACACTAAGAGAAGCATCAGTTTCAGGAAGATGAGGAGTGGATAGAGCACTGCTCACACATTAAAATTGTATTTCTAAAAGACAATTTAATTACAAAAGAAAAATGCTCATCATTTATCAGTTATATACAAAATTATGTATATATTTATATGTAGCATCTCAATTATGTATACACAAATACATAGAGAAATTATAACAATGTTTATAATGTTTACCTCTAGGTGGTGGGATTTGGGAGAATCTTAACTAAAAAAGGTGTTATTATTTAATCTTAAGAAGAAAGATTTCATCCATTTTCATACCTGGATCTTTCATATTTTTTACAATGAATATACTTTATTCTTTTTTTTTTCTTTGAGACAGGATCTCACTCTGTCACCCAGCGTGGAGTGCAGTGGCATAATACAGCTCATTGCAGTTTTGACCTCCCAGGCTCAGGTGATCCCCTTGCCTCAGCCCCCTAGGGTAGCTGGGACTATAGGTGCATATCACCAAGCCTGGCTACATTTTTTTTTGTACTTTTTGTAGGGATGGAGTTTTGCTATGTTGCCCAGCCTGGTCTCAAACTCCTGGGGTCACCATTTGTGAACAAGTGATCCACTGGCCCTGGCCTCCCAAAGTTTTGGGATTACGGGTATAAGCCACTGTGCCTGGCCACACTTTATTCTTATTATCAGAAAAAAAATTAATTTCTTGGTATCAGAAGAAGAGGAATAAATGCCTTATGGGCTACATCATCTCACTTAATGTGCCCACAATCATCTGATAGGCAAGCAATAGGGTTCCCTATTTACCTCTTGAGGTAAATGTGGATGAGGAAATGGAAGCTGAGAAAGATGAGGAGCTCATGTCACTCACACCATAATAATGCCATGGTTCTAATCTGGTGATGAAGACACAAACTACATATATACAATCAGTCAGTTAAGATGGTATTTCCAAGAAGGGATAGAGACTTGGGGATGTGTTTAGCTGTGCAAACTACACATTAAGAAAAGACATTTGGCAAGAAGGGAGTTACTTGTGGCCTGCAAGAGTAGAAATACCATGTGACAGCAAGAATAACAAGCACTTTCCTCTTGATGAGAGATGACTGTGGTGGGGAGATGGAGGCAGGCATAGAGAACTTGATAAGAATCAGGCAGTTGGCTCACGCCTGTAATCCCAGCACTTTGGGAGGCCAAGGCGGGTGGATCACGAGTTCAGGAGATTGAGACCATCCTGGTCAACATGGTGAAACCCCATCTCTACTAAAAATACAAAAATTAGCTGGGTGTGGTGGCACGCGCCTATAATCCCAGCTACTCGGGAGGCTGAGACAGAGATTGCAGTGAGCCGAAATCATGCCACTGCACTTTAGCCTGGTGACAGAGCAAGACTCCGTCTCAAAAAAAAGAAAAAAAAAAAAAAGAATCAGACAGTTCATCAGTGAAGATAGGCCAGGTTATGCTGGGAGTAACGACCCCCAATCTCAGTGGGGAAGCACAACAAGGTTTATATTTTGCCTATGTGATGTGGGTTTGCCCTGGGCTTCATTGTGGTCACTCGGGGACTCAGGCTGAAGATGATGTCGTCTGAAACTTGCTTCCACAGTCACCATGGCAGGGAAAGGGTAACGCTGGAGTTGAACGCTACCATTTAAATGTTTCTACCTGGAAATGACAGTGGTTTTAATTGGCCAAAGCCACAGCCAATTCGAAGGGTGAGGGGAAATGTAGTCCTACCACGTGCCTGTAAGGAAGGGAACTAGGATATTGTGAAACCACCCTAATGATCACCACACCGGGGGACATATTTTTTGCTTTCTAAGGCTCTTGTTTTGGCAGCAAAGGAAACAGCTTTCAGGTCTCTAGAATATTAAACACAGGAAGAACTCATGGGCATCATCTAGGAAACTGAGATTTCAAGGGTATAATGATTGTTTGCAAAAAGTCACAGAGAGAACTAGAAGGATGTATTCTGAGGCCAGTGCCCCACATGGTCCTCGGTGTGCAATACTCACTGTCCAGGGCCACACAAATTAGGAAGAGTGAGGAGCTTGGCCTGGGAACTTATTTTAAAACTCTGCTTCCAAGGTGTTGAGAGGAGCAGTTTCGTCTCATCTGATACTAGCATTTACTGATGTTTGAGGCCAGTGGCATCTCCATCACTTACAACTCTGGATTATGTCTCCCAGGTGCCTAGGTTTCTCCATGTGCTTGTTGCTGAAATGGCTGGAGCAGCCTGAAATCATTAGGTTAAAGTGTCATTTAAAGTTGGGTTAATGTAGAACTAGCTAGTGTTTGCCCTAAGTGGTCCGGTGGCAGGTGATCTAAGACTTGGAAACCCAGCTGAATAACTCCGTGTCTACAGATTGCAAATAGGTCAGCTTCGATGAATGAGAGAGATTGAACAAATGAGAATAATGGAGACCTCCCACTCCTCTGAAATCAATATTATGTTTGAAATAAAGAACGATTTATGACAGAAAAGGAATCATGAGGACACAGACCATCTCATATGGAGGGTCAGGCAGACTATCTGAATTGGCATATGGAATGATCATAATTCTGAGTTTTTGGGGGTCAATGCTATTGGGTGTATCAAAAATAGAAAAAGGGAGGAAAACTTAAAACTCTGCTTTAACTTCATCACATATTGCTTTGGGTTTCTAGTCATATTTGTGATGTTCTGTGAACTTATATGAGAAACTAAAAAGTTTATTAATACTTTTTAAACTATAGATTTGTAAAGTTAAAGAGTAATGCAATTTACTCTACAGTTAAATAGGGGTGGTTTTGTCACTTTCATAGGTCGTTCTTTATATTCCTTGCTTTTTAAACTCTTTTTGGTTTTGGCTTTGATTTAAATTACATGATCATTAAATTTCCTCTTTTTATCAGGGCAAAATGAAGGGTTTTCTAAATCTTAAAAGCATGTAATTTACCTTGGATGTAAACTATAATGCTTATTCTGAATAAATTCCATGTAAAACTGCAGAAATTGTGTAGAAAGTCTTTATGAATTGGAACTTAACATGTCATTGACACATTTTGAAGGGCGTTCTGTTGACTTTAGTGATGGATGAGCCTATTCTGCCAAGTTCAGCTGGAAGGAGTGTTTTAGAAAGCCAAACATCAACTCGAATCTAGAAACTTCCTGGAATCATGATTTTGGATCAGCAGGGTGGACACAGCCTACATCTGTGCAAGGGATGGCATTTTACCAGCTTGCTCCACGGAAGTCTTTGGAATGGAACCATAAACACCAGCCTTTTTTGTTGTGCGTTGCCTTTTAAAAGTCCCCAAAGGTTTGGGGAGGATAAGGCTTTGCCTCAGGGCTCCCGGGTCTCATTTTTTGGGACCTGGCTGAAAACCCTGGATATTTGATAGTCTGGCTTATTTCTATGGTGTATTAGCACCCTATAAAAGTTACATGTCATTTATTTCAAGTTTAGAACCCTCTCAAACTTCAGGGGCAAACCAAACTTGAACCTTTTGTGGCTGGAATTCTGTTTACCTTTGGCCAAACCTTGCTTCCTGAATGTAAGGCTGGGAGGTGAGGTGAGAGGGACTCCTGAGGCTCCCTGGACATCGAATAGCTTTTACCAAACACGGCTTTGATAGGTTAAAATGTGACCGAATTTGAAACACGTAGATTCTTTCTGTCAAAGTACTCTGGGGCCTACACACAGAAGTATATTGTGCTGGGCAAAATGCCTTTTGAGTGTTGCCTTCCTTCAGTGGTGAGGAAGTATCTGAGACTTTTGCCAAACAGAGGTTGAAATTGGGTCAAGCCATTCACCCCCAATTCTAATAAATACATTAAGTAGTTTTTATAAAGGTTATTGGGCAATCCAATTGAACAAGGACCTTGGAGAAATTTGGACATTTCTTGTGTTTGAAACATTTTTTTAAGGATTTTTGTTCTGTTTTGTTTTAATTTTTTATTTCCATAGGTTTTGGGGGAACAGGTGATATTTAGTTACATGAGTAAGCTCTTTAGTGGTGATTTGTGAGATTTTGGTGCAACCATCACCCGAGCAGTATACACTGAACCCAGTGTGTAGTCTTTTATTACTCAACCTCCTCCCAGCTTTTCCCCACAACTCCCCAGAGTCCATTATGTCATTCTTAGGTGTTTGCATCCTCATAGTTTCAATGACAAAGAAAGAAAGGGCTCCAAGACACAGCGGCCCAGTTTGAGGATCCCTATGATTCCTTTGTGTTTATTCTTGGAACACAGGCTAGCAAGGGATGTCTTGTGCTTGAATGAAGGAGAAATAACACACAGAGCTCCATGTGCCTTTCAGATAGAGGAACTGATGAATGCACTGGAGAAGACCAGACAGGAACTGGATGCCACCAAAGCACGCCTCGCCTCCACACAGCAGTCCCTGGCCGAAAAAGAAGCGCACTTGGCCAACCTCCGGATTGAGAGGAGGAAACAGCTGGAGGAGATCCTGGAGATGAAGTGAGCACCCATTGTTGCTTTTGTAGCCTCTCTCTTCTAGCCTCTCTTGAGAGTGGGAAAGGGGAAGGGCTAGAGAAGATGAAGAAAGAGCTCAGAGAAAGAATAATTTAGCTCACACTTGCCTGGTCATTTCTGAAAGTACGTTTCTTATGTTTTAATTGTAACTTTGGTGTCTCCGTTTGCACATTTCTCACATCTGTCACTGAAAAAAATATAGATCCAGCTCTAGATTTTGGGTGTCTGTGTTTTGTGGATGGTGCTGGGATTCTTAGATCTGTTGGAAAGGTCTGAGCCAGCCAAGAGACGGAGGCCTTGTTAAGCACAATGGTAATTTGAGCGCTGCTCAGAGTAAACTGGAAACTTTTCCGAGAAGGTATTTCCTAATTGTGACTATAACTTTGCTAATTATATTCTTTTCACTTGTGTACAATGCCTGGTTTGTGTTGGCTCTTGCAGAGTCTCAAGGTTGGCACCTCTTTGTTTAGAAAGTGAAACTCTGATTTGCTGGGCTTATAAAAATAGGTTGGAAATCCCACATCCCTGCCACACCCCACCCGGGTGGGGGCTTGGGAAGCTAAATCAGGGAGATTGGATTGGAACTAATCACTTCCTTTGATTTAATCAATGACGTGGGGCTGAGTGCTGGGAAATGGTTGTCCTGTGGTCCTGTGACACACCCACCTACACCTCACTCTTATTTCATTCTCACAATGAAAGAGCATCATCACGGAACAACATAGGAAAGAAAATCACTGAGAGATTTTCATAAATATCAATTGCAATAGGTCTGTTTGTAAAGAACTAGTCAACAAGGAGCATCTCTGTGTTTTTAAACGAAATAATCACTAAGTTATAATTTAAATCGAACTTCCCTCCACAATAAGGGGAAACATACATAATTACGGCATCTTAAGCCTGTAACACAGACTTTGAAATTGGTGGCTAGGTATGGAAGTGACCTTATGGTGACCCAGCAAGCGTTACATATGGTTAGCATTAAACGCAGAAAGCTTAAATCATGGAAATCATGGAATGAAATAGTTTGAAGGATTTAATAATGAGGACAAAACATTTATTCCTCATCAACTACCTCAGTTTCTCCAAGACCAAAGAATAAGTAGGGTTTTTTTTCCACATATAAACTAGCATTTTTTCTAATCAAATATAATATGATAAAAACAGGTATTATTATATTGAGTTCAGAGTTGAGGGAGCTGAGACTCAGAGAGATTCACATAATTTGCTTAAGGCCATCTGGCCACGACAAAACCAGTTTTCTACCTCAAGCTCCATTTCTGCTACCTAATTTTCTCGAGGAATTTATGTGAACTCATTAAGACTGGAACTTCTGTCTGTTTGAGTCACTGTAGTCATCATGCTGATGAGAGCAGTGCCAGGCACATGGGAGGTGCTCAGTGATTGTTTGCTGCCCACGACAGTGTCTTGAATATGATAGGTGCTCAGTGGTTTGTTGAGTGAGTGACTAGATTGAATACTGGAGACTGAATTTGATGTAGCTAAGAAGAAAAGTATTTTAAGTATCTGTGATATTATCACCTTCATCAATAATTTATTAACACTGTTGAAAGGATACATGTTTATAAGCACAGCATACATAAAATCTTGATGTTTGCCAATATTTACTGTTGTTTAAAAGATTAACTTATGTAATTAGTTGTGGAATATGTGTATGAATTTAAATGACACCCAGAAAAATTATTACTGTCAATATGTGTATAAACACTCAGCTGAGAAAGACCAAAAGTATAGTGTAGTATTAAATAATTGAAGAAACAGCAATATGCAAAATGGAAAGTCCATTTATGAATATATTCATGTTAGAATCTAAAGTTATGTCTTTTTATAATGTCTATATACAAAGTTCATAAAATGGTTTATTTGAGAAAGTTTCCATCTTGCTGATATTAACCAATAAAACTTCATTTCCTAGAAAACAAGGTGGAATGTTATGATTTATACAAGAATAGAGAAAGATTTTAGAATTACATATACTTCCACCTTCATTTTGGATTTGATTTTTGAATGGAGGTTAAAAATACTGAAATTCAACTTATGACTTAGTTTTACCCTTGAAAAATTTAGCATATTTTTTTTTGCATTTTACTTTCCATAATAAATGTAGTATAGAATAAAAATAATTTATTAACAATAGCCAATGCTAGTATTAGTGCATTAGCAGTATGAGTCCATTGATTCAATCAGCCTGTATTCTTTTCTGTTCACCTGTCTCTCCTCTTCCTCTCTGTGTGTTATGTGTCAAGTCCAGCCTAGTTTTTCTCCTTGTTTTCCAACTGTTCTCAAGTTAACTCTCCATCCCCTGAAGTGATTTATTATGCCATTATAAAGAAATTTTAATTACTTCCTGTTTATAAAAAGAGCATATACTTTCAACATTTTGAGAGAACAAGTAATGGTGAAGTATACTGGTTTGTGAGTCATCAGACCCCGGGTGGAATCCTGTTGCTTCCACCTGGTGGCTGTGTGACTCGGGAGAAATACCCTTAACCTCACGAAACTTCCAGTTTCCTCCCGTAATGACTTGAATGGGAGTGGTTGTGAGGAGGGGTTCTCAGCAGAGGGCTTGGCACACAGAAAATGATATATGTATGCAAATAGCACTATCAGCCAATGAAAATATGTCCTTTGTTTAGTATACTTTGTGAAGAGTATCATTTATCTAAAATTTGGATTTATTTTTCTAAAACATATAAACTTTTTCCATGTGTATGTTTTCCCACTTAACTTCATGGTGTCAGATAGCACCTAACTAAGACCTCTTTTGGTGAATTGCCACATTATTGCTGAAGTGCTTAATCTGCTGCCACTGCAAAATAAATACAAAATTCCTGTGTTAATTCCTTTGGTGAAAGTAACAAAGCCCTGCTTCATTAAACCTGATATGGACCCTATTCACTATTTAACTGGCCTAGAAGCCCAACCTGTGGGCTTCTGCCCTGGGACTATGGGAGGACTCAGATACAGGGCAAGTATATTGACTGAGATCCTCAACTACAGGCACCAGCCTCTTGGGCTGTTCAAGTTTGCCACTGGTTTGTTCAATCACAGTGTTTAAGCTGAATTGACAGACGGGTTACTTGACATTGATTGAGTCCACGTAAGTTCGTGGGAACAGTCAGATGGGTATTATCATTGTTGGTGAGTTGTTAGCATCTGTGCCAAGCATTGTTGGTTTTTCATTCAACCGGCACCCATCATCTTTAGACAGGCATCTTTATGTCAGGTCTACCCAGTTTCCAAACCCTGGTGGGAAGGGAGAGGCTGTGTGGTATTAGAGGGAAGAGGGGTGAGGCTGTGAGTCAAGAGAAAGGAACTGTGATCTCATAGCTCATTTCTGGCTCACCCCATAACATTAAACATCACTCTCTGGTTGCCTCAGTTTTCTCTTCAGTAAAATGGAGGTGGTAATACCTGCCCTGCTTACTCTATAGAACTCTTATAGGGATAAGATTTCTTTTTTTAAGTAGCAAACTAAAATTAGTATAAACCAGCACATGTGAAAGTGCTTTGAAACCTAAAAGGGGCTTTTGAAATAAGAGGTGGTATCTGTTAAATTCATTGCAAACCAAATGGCACAGAGTTTTAGAATGGGAAAGCAACTGGGTCCAACCTCCTAGCCTGCACAAGCCAGTCTCCCATTCACAGGATTACTCATAAGGAATTCACCAGGCCCTGGTGAACACCATTCCCATGGCAGGCCATGGGCTCACAAGGTGGTGGTTCATGTTTCATGGCTTTTACAGGTAGCTCATTTGTCCTTATGTTGAACTGAAATGTCTTTCCATTTGTCTTGGTTTTTGTTCCAGAGCTATACAGAATTTACCTGAACCCCATCCAAAGATAGATATTTGTTTAGATATTTGTTGGGTGATATTGTTCATTTTAAAGGAAAAAAGAGGCGGTATAGAGAAACAACATGAAAAAATTACTCATGATCTTAACGTGGAGAGAGAGACACTGATGGCATTTTGGTGTATAATTTTGCAAATGCTCCTTATTTTATAAAGAAAATTGGACTGTACTTGCATGTTTTGCAAGTCCCTCTTCTTTTGTGAATGTGAACAACCTTCTATGTTGCAAACATAGGATTGTATTATTTTTAATTACTCAATATACTGTCATATAGGTTTACATCATTATTGGGCATCTGTCTCAGTTCCAGTGTTTTGATAAGCATTCTGCTGTATAATTTTATTTTATTAACATATTTCTAAATACCTGTGGATTGTCAGGCTGTTGCGAGAAATAATACAAAGAGGGTTCTCATATCCTTCAACCATTTCCTTAATTGGTAACATCTTGCATAACTAAAGTACAATATCACACGAGGAAATTGATATTGGTACAATCTACCGGCCTTCTTCAAATTTCTCCAGTTTTACGTATCTATTAACATTATTCCAATTTCTCCAGTTTTACATGCACTTGTGTGTTTGTGTGTGTTTAATTATATCCACTTTTATCATATGTGTTTTGTGTCACCACCACCACCGTCAAGATGCAGAACTGTTTAATCATCACAGTGACCTCTGGTACTATCTTTTTATAGTTACATCCACTCTTAGGCTGTATAATTTTTACCCAAAGTTTTGTTTTGTGTTATATCATTTTGGGACATGTGCCACACTGACCTACATTTTCTCCTACCATTCTTCTTTAGCTTTTCTTATTTTAAATGCCGACTGGATTTAGAGTGAGTAAATATTGCCTGATTCTTCCATTGTAAAGATTTCTCATGATATGATTTTATTTTATTTACAGTGGAATTTTCTTTTAATATTGGATATTGAGAATCTGTCACATAGTAGGCACTCAAAAAGTATTTGAAAAATGAAAGGATGAATTAGTTAAAAAATGTATAAATATTCACTGCTGATCTACCATGTGCTAGGTACTGTTTTAGATGAACAAACGTGACCTTGTTGAGCTTGCATTTTAGTAAAATGAGTGAAGGAAATGAA